CATGGTACATCCCATGGAACCAGATGTCTGCCTTGTCTCTGAAATGTAGTTAAGCCAAATCAGACTTGACCTCCTCAGCTACTCCCTGGATCTGGAAGTACTTGTTGGCTCTCCTAACCCACTCTCATGGATTATCCCCATCAAACATAGGGAAATCAATCTTAGGCAGCTTGGTTCCCTCTTAAGATCTTGCTCTCAGTTCTTTCCCTCCTCAAATCCTTCCTCTGGTCATTTCCAGAATGCTTCCCCCTTTCTCCCAGTTTCATTTAACTTGGCCATCATTTGAGCCATCACATCATGATACCCTAACTTTTAGGATACTATTGTTTAGTCTCCAAGAGGATATTTACGATTTCTTTATTTAAGACATTGTTTTGTTTTAAAAACGAGAAACCCTAAATTCTAGAAACTCTAAAGTCTAAACAAAAACCCTAGTTTACTTGTGACTAATCGATTTTCTTAAATCCTTCATTTTGAATCGAAACCTTAATTGTAATCACTGGAATTGTAAAATTTCTCATATTTTCTTAAAATTTCTTTTTATTTGGCATTTATTCCCTTATAATAGCTATACTACTCATTGTACATCCCCAACATTTAGAATAAAGAATAGAAAGAATTTTTCCTTTTGCATTCATCGTTAGGGTAAACTAAGATTTTTATGCCTATCCGTAGTGTGACTATCCGGTACGGAGAGTGGATCAAATTTGGTGATTAAGAGTGAGTTTTAGATGATATTAAGTGTGTGATTGGAAGTGAGAATAATAAGTGAGAGAATTATAAGTGAAAACCCTAGTACACGCGATTTAAGAAAAATCGGATTGAACCGACGGGTACCGTTTGTTACCAATTGAGTGCATCACTTGACCACCATTTTCTCACCATAAAATAACCTTGATATTAGTGCAAAATATCAGCCCTTAATCCAACTTAAGTGGCCGAAAATATTGACCAAGAAAAGGGAAAAAAAGGAAAAATTGAGGTTGAATCTTGTGGTGACACTTGGCGGTCATCCACCTAACTTTGACCCAAACCAATTACCATCTTATAAACCTTCTTGAAACTTCATTTTCTCCTCCATTCCAGCCTCTTGGTCATGAGTTTGAGAGAAAAAAAGGAGAGGAAGACAAGCTAGCAACTTCACCTTGAATCCAACTTAGTTGAGTGAAAATCCAAAATCCAAACCGATTAAACTTTCATTTTAGTACTTAGATAGTTGTGTGTGGTAAAAGTTTGGGAGAAAGTGTTTGATTTCTCACCTATAAGGAGCTTTTGGAAGGTAACATGGCTGCCTATCCCTTTACTCTTCATTAATCTTGTTTAAGTTTGGATAGAAACTCATATTCTTGGTTTATGATGGTAAATTTGCCAGTTTGGAATGATATGTGGAATATGGAGTTAGGGTTTACATTTTCAGCCTTGCTTATGGTTATTCATCTAGTAATGGATGTTGTAGTATTAGTAATTTTTGGCTTTGATGCTTGAATGCTTACTAGATATGAAATTCTAGAGAAAAGCTCAAATTCCAGGTTTAAGTTTTCATATTTCCCTGTTCTGTCTGGTTCTAGTTCACCATGTTTGACGCTGAATTAGACTTAGCCTAAAACATAAAAGTTGTAGAGAATGATATTTTATAATTTTCTACAAAATTTCAGCCCAATCCGAGTACTGTATCTTATGAAAAGACAAAAATACCCCTGAGACTGCCCTAGGTAGAGTCCAGCAGACAATTTTGACATTGCCTCACGTTGGCTGCATTTTTCACCTTGATCCGTATCAAACCAGTCTTTGGTCAAAACATGAAACTTTTAGCCCTGTGTCTCAGATTTCCAACGCCCCTAAGAACGCCTTAATCGGATTTCGGTAGCCTGAGTTATTGTCATTTATGCATAGTGCAGTTTACTAGCCCGAATGTGAGATTTTGGTTCTGTAATTTGAAATTTTGACCTAGATACACTACGAACTGGACTGAGTGTCTTCATCAAAGTTGTAGTTCTTTGTCTTAGCTTCGAAATGATATCTCGTACACCTTAAACCAATGATCACAGCTTCTGTTATAATTAAAACCGTAAAAGGTGTCAAAACTGTGAAATGTCCGTTTACGCCTTTGGGTGCGGACGCGACCATTTTCATTTCCGCGCACGTGTATGTGTATTTCTCAACTGTTTTTGCCATTTTGGACCGTTTAGAACTATTTTTGTTATTTTGTTACCATTTCGGCCGTTGCGGCCAATTTCGACAATCTTGTGGCCTTAATGTCGTTTTTTACCGTTTTGACTTTTTTGACTGGTTTCGATCATTCAAATTATAAACTGCTATTGTATGGCTGTTTCACTTATGTGTATATATAATCTATCAATACAGACTGTGAGCCTTTTGACAGTTATAGTCAAGCTCAGTGAATTGTATCGTTTTTCGTGCCAAGCTTTATCAAGTGAGTAATTGGGTTGTTTATTTATGTGAAATTGTTAAAGTGCTTCGTATATGTTGAATGGATACTTAGGTGAGGGTGTACTTTATCTCCCTCGACCTAAGCCCATCATTTGTTTTGATTTCATGTGTGAGATTACATGCCTTATGTTGTGTATGTTGTGTATCACCCTTTTGCTGAGTGCTGATGGGGTGATTACATTACTTGAATTGAACCTCATTTGCTGTATGCTGTTTGGAGTAAGTATTTTGTTGTGTACTTTGTTGAGAAATACCATCTATTGAGAGATCGGATATCTCAGGGCTTGGTTCCAGCTCGATTCCAAGGATAGACGAACTATTCGAGCCAGTCGGGGTTTGGTCGAAGTTAGTTCCATGCTAACTTTGGGATTTAGTTCTTTGTTAAAACTTTGTTGAAAGCTAAGTGATTTTGTTTTGCTCGAGCTGCTGTGTACTGTTGACTGGCCAGCGGGGGTTGAAAAGGTGAACGGAGAAAGTTAAGTGGAGTCTACGGACCACGAGTACTTGGTTGACGGAGTGTCAACAGGCGTTCAAGTTCGGGGAATTGAACTGGCTTTGGAGCCACCCGTATCCTACCATTGTGATGTTACATTTCTGTATTGATGTGAAATATTTGGAATTATATGTTTATCTGAATGTGTTTTACATTTTTACGCCAATTATTCACTAAGCATATAGCTTACTCCGTTCCATTTGTTTTCCTTAGCAGGGGGCCGACGCGGGGATCGCTCGGGACAGTGTATAGACTTTTGGTTATAAAATAGTTTACCTTGTACCTGTTATAAGTTGACTAGTAAGATGTATATAGTTGTCGTGGTGGTTGTAGTTATCAGATTTTTTAAGGTTTACTTTCTGGTACTCGTGATATGTAATTCTTGGAGAATTGGATGTAATATTTGAGATTTATCTTGTAATTCATTTGAGGACTGTAGTGAGTGAGTGAATCCCGGCAAGAGTTGGGCAGGCGACCCGCCGAACCCTGGGGTACGCCCTAGGGGAAGGTGGGGCCATCACAATGCTCTCATACTTTTGGTCCAAGTTCTTAATGGCCTTCTTCGTGCCTTCTTGTCTGTGCTCTATTGCTCTGACCGCCTGTTCCAATCCATCATTTTTGTTAGCAAATGTTCTCACAACATTCCCTAGCTCAATCAGGTCCTTCCTCATCATCTCCTCCTGTGTTTTAGTCATCCCCAATGGCTTGTAGATAGCTCTGATACCACTGTAACGGTACCAGACTTGAGCTAAATAGGAATGTTCCCTTTGGTGGTTGGAATAACAATCAGAACGTAAATGAAATTAATCAAACACAAAATGAGCTAAGAATGAAGCTCAAGAATGGCTTTCATTAATCTGTGGAGAAGTACAGAAAGGGCGGGAAAACTAAGAAGGTGAAAAGAACTGAAGGAAATTTGGGATAGGAAATAAGCAGAATGAGATTTAGCTCAATTCTGTTGAATTACAAGACAATTATTACCTTTTACTACATTCACTTAATCCCCTATATATAGCTATCAATTAATAACTAACGTCTGATCCTTCCAATAGCGTTAGTCCACGTGGCCAAGTGGCTGTGAATTTGTTGCAATAACTGGAAGTTTGTTGCAGAACTTCTATGGCTTCCTTCGCGCGGTTGCAGATTTGGTTCCCAGCAAAGGCGTGGTTCTTGATTCACGCCTTTGTTTCTTTCTTTACCTATCTCACGCCTTTCTCCTTGCTGTCTTCACGGTTTCGTTTGTTACTTGATTTGACTGTCAGCTACTCCATGACATTGCTCCAAATTCTTTTTCGGTGAAATCGGTAAAATACCATTTTTCGATTTCATTGCTATACGGAATTGAAATAAAAAATGTAAAATTTGAAAATGAATTAGTTTGAAATTTTCTAGAGACAATTTATCGAAACTAACAATTTCATTCTCCCAAATTATCGAATTTGATTTTGATGCACACCCTAGCTAAATTTTACAAGTGTAAATTCCTTCTTTTTATTTTGCATTTAAAACTCCTTAACTTGTAGTTAATACATTGTGAAAATTTTGTGTATTTGTTATGTGGATAGAAGAGGGTAATTTTGGGACTAAAGAAGAATAAGGGAGCAAATCATCTTTTCATCATTTGAAATTTTGTGGATTGCAAAAAATTGCTGAAATTTAAAGTTTAGGGAGTAAGGCCAATTGCAGGACAATTTGAAGGGTGCATATTACAATTAACCCAAAAATATATATACAATTTGCATTACAAAGTTACAAAAATGTCCACCAAACCTCCTTTTTTTTTTTTTTTAAGAACACAAATCTCCACCAAACTTATCACACAAACCTGCTCTAATAATAAAGATATAAAATTGTGGGTTATAAAATTGTAGGCTACAATAGATAACCAGACAACATTTATGTATACAGCAAAACATCCTAGTACCTGATATTTGACTAGCACCCTCAAAATTTTCTGCAGGTAAAGCTTCGAGCAGGTTGTTATGTTAGCCAACACCAACCTCAATTCTTGCAATTTCTCTTATTTCCCAGTTCATATACATAATCATGCTCTCCGAAAATTCCATCTCCGCAACCCATTAAACCTGAGCAGCAAAAGTTCCCAATTGTTATAAAATTAAGCACAAGATTTTATGAAAAACACTGTAGGACTCGTACTAGCTGTAATAGTAATTGGAGAGATGAGACTGGAATCAACGACAGTATAAAACTGGTGCCATTGCAGAAACTGCAAAATTCATTTTGTTGTTACAGTTCATTGAGCACGGAAGAGAACCCGGAAAATCCCATATTGGAAAATGAAGAAATTTGTCTGGAGGACGAGAATGATGGAAATAATGGAGGAGGAGGAGGAGGAGAAAGGGACTGGACGACGTCGTTGTTGCTCCTTGGACTTTATGTTGGACTTGTGTACTATGTTGTCTTCTTTCTAGCACCAAACCAAACCCCGGTATGGTATTGTAGTTTATTATATGGAAGGGGAAAAAAAATCTTTGATATGCTTTTTTATCTTCTTGATTAATAACTACTGAAAGTTTTGGTTATTGTAATAATTAAAAAAGAGGGGGAAAGAAAGACTTTGTTGGTTAATTTGTCTTAGATGTCAGAGGAAATGATAGCTGAGGAACAAGAAAATGGATTTCCTTTTTCTTTTTAATGCAATTGAACTGTGTTGTTATTGGCTATTGGGCTTTTCTTTAAGATTGAAACCAACTTCTTCAATTGTTATTTGTTCGATTTCCCAATCAGTAATAAAATTAGTAGGAGTTTTTGAAAAAAAAAGAAATACTGGGAGTTTTATTATTTATCATGGCAACCTGATGCTTCAGGAGGAGAAGGTAGAATCTTCTATGGTGTCATGTGCTCATCTTTTGCCCTATTTTCACTATTGACTTTGATAATTGTTTGCAGTCGACAGATGTGTATTTCTTGAAAAAGCTTGTTAATATAATAGGAGATGATGGCTTCCAAATGAATGAAGTGCTAGTGGCTTTGTGGTATATCTTGGGGTTGTATCCGTTTGTGTACAGTATGTTGCTGCTTCCGACTGGCCGATGGTAATTTTGATGACTTGTATTGCTTAAGTTTACTGATAATGCCTCTGAGTTATTGTTTACTTCGTGCTTGGATACCTTAAGATAGAAGCTAGGCGGTTCAGAATTGTATTTTCACTTCTCTAGGTCTGTATAAAGTTTACACAGGTGGTAATTAGAGTCCCTGGTCATATTCTTTACACATCTATTTTCAAAGATAATGTCGCACACCGATGCCTTTCTAATTGAATGCAACTAAGAGTTACACGGGAAAGGGCTCTATAAGAATTTGGGAAGCACAATGTTTTTAATTTGTGCTTTAACTTTTTTCAAGATATATGGAGGTTGATTGATTCTTATATCTGCTGGTCTTTGATGCTGCAGTGAAAATAGGAGTGTCCCTGTCTGGCCCTTCCTCATTCTTTCAGGCTTTGCAGGTGCATATGGTCTGATTCTGTATTTTATTTTTTGGAGACCACCACCACCACCTATTGAAGCAACTGAGCTTAGAAGATGGCCTCTGAATTTTCTGGAATCAAAAATAACTGCCGCAGTAAGGAGAGTTCTGTGAGAAATTTATGTCATGTAATAGATGTTTGCAGAAAATTAGTTTTAATATGAATTCTTTTCAGGATCGATGATGTGAAAGAAAGTTATCATGCATGGGTTATGCCAAACTAAAATCTGCAAAACTAAAGTTATCATGCTGTTATCATGTTTAGGGGTGCCTGATGTAATAGGTTGTGGGTGGATATGAGTTGGTGGAAATGAGTTGATAGTTTTTTGTACCTTGTAGAGCAACAAAAGTTTACTCCTTTCACTGTAAGTTATAATTTTGGTTCATGTTCACTACAACAAGCATTGGAAAGGCCATAACTTTTTAGTGTTGACATTAGGCTAAATTGTGAGAGAGAGATTTGAAGCTTAAAAAAGTAACTGATTCAGGAATTAGTACTAAAGTTGCATTGGGGATTTGTTATGGAGATCATAGAAGCATGCATGACATGTATCTGAATGTCTTAGCGAACATATGCCTTTGGAATTTCGGCATTTGGACTTGTATGGACTGAGATATACCGATTACAGTTTTCTGCGTTTTGCAAACCTGTTTTGGGAATTCTGGTATAGTATTTCGTATTTTCGACCTAGTTAAGCTAGGAACTGGATTGAGTGACCTTCTACATTGTTGTATCCCTGTTTCATAGCTTCGAAACGGTGGGTCTTACACCCCCATCCGATAACCGTAGAGAATTTGACGCCATTACCGCATAATGAGTGTAAAACAGTTTTCTATTTGGGGGCCAAGACTAAGGCCATTTTCTAATTTCTGGTTTGCTATTATGCTCATTTATGTATATGAAACCCTATTGGGGTTGTGTTTAGCGTTGCTATATGACTCGTTATCGAGTCTCATTGTATGTGTTATATGTTCTAGGGCTTGAAGGTAGTGCACGACGGCTTGGTGATCGTGGTACATGAAATACCACTTACTTGCTTGGTGAGTATACCACTCACTAAATTGTTACTATGTGGCTTTGTTAAATGTTATGTGATGCCTTGATGGCTTACTTGCATATTGGAATTGATTAAGGTGAGGGTGTACTTGACCGCCCTCACCTCTTTTGATATTGTCATTGATTGGCTACCGTTTTATTGCATTACTGAACTTGATATATTGGTTGGTGAATTCCATTTCATGGAAACTGAATTGATGTCGTTTGGACGATGTCCAACGGCCTTACTGCATTACTGAGCTCAACCCCGTTTGGTAGTCAATTGGATCGAGCCGGCGAGGGCTTGGTCGTGAACATTGAATTGCCACGGGGACTGTACTTGGGGAACCTTGTGGTAATGAGACCCTTGGTTCCGGTAAACTCGAGTATTACCAAAAGCTACTGAAATGGAGTGCGGGCCCGGTTGGGGTATGTTGGGTGGAAGGAATGGAAGTAAAGAGTTGTCTACGGTTTGGTATTTTAACATTGACGGAGAGTCAATGAGGTTGGTTCAAGATTGCAAGCGTGGAAATGGGCTCTTGAGAGCCGACCGTATCCTTTTACCGTTTTGCTTCATTGCTTATTTATGCACTTTAAATGAAGGTTCATTCTTATATGACTTTGATTGCTTATTGGGTGGTATACCACTGGGCTTTGGCTCATTCCGTGTTATTTGTTTTCCTTACAGGGATATAATTGCTTTTGAAAATGGACTGGATAGTCAATTGCCATACTGAGCTTGTAAATGTCTTTTGTATAGCTCTTGAAGTGAAACCCTAATGTATAACGGGTTCATTTCCTTTTGATAGGCAAATCGAATGTGTACTTCCTTAGTGAATGGTTCTGGCTTGCCGTTGTGGCTTGTAAATGGCTAATGTTATGTGGTATATGTATTTCGATGCTGGTTGGGTTTCGGACGGGTCGGTTACTATTCATGGCCGACTCTGGAGTTTGTTTCTTTTATTTTGGGGTATTTTGCCCTTTTGCCTTGTTGCGCGCGTTATAAGTTTCAAACGTGATAGATCGCTTTATACTGCACCGTTAGTCCTGGCGAGAGCTGGGCAGGCAGTCCGCTAACCTCTTTGGTTCGCCTTAGGGGAAGGTGGGGCTGTCACAGGTGGTATCAGAGCCTAGGTTTGAATTAGCCTGGGTGTTATAGGAATGCTTGATCTGAGGGTTTATTGATTATGGTCTTTAAGCTTATTGATTCTTATTTATTTACACTTTTGGTGTAGGATGGACAGTTCCAGTGGACCTAGTGATGGCCCTGCGGCCAAGCGACCTCGTGTAGCGCTCCCGATGATTAAGTACCAGATCCGGCCAAAGGGGGCCGTTATTCGTTGGAGCCCGTCTAACCGTCTTCGGCGGTGCGCGTGTAAAGAGAAGTATGCTTACCTGAATGCCCTCGTTTTGGCAGTTGTGAAGGAAAGAAAGGAGCTGGCAAAAGCTAATGCCAAGCTTGAGGTTGAGGTGAATCAGTTAAAGGCGGCCAACGAGGGGCAAGCCAAAAGGATAGAGGATCTGAAGTATGATGTACTTGAGGCGGAGGATAGAGTCGATGACCTCTGTGCCCAGCTGAGGGAGGCGCGTGAGCGCAAGTCTAAGAGGGCTCGGAAGGTGAGGACTTGAGCCGCTGCAATCCTAAACCTCTGTGCCGAGGTGGTGGAAGGAGTGAGCGATAAGGACTCCTGTGCGGGGTCTGAGGCTAGGGTTGGATCCACTCCGTCGAGTGGGTCTCATAGCTCATCTTCGGGCTAGATTATGACTCCTAGAGTTGTTATAGATAGTTTTGGTCTTGTGTATAGGGTGGATAGGGATAGAGCCTTAGCTAACCGTTTTGGATATAGGGTTAGCTACGTGTAAATCTCTTTTGATAGGCCTATCCTCAGGTGGATCTTTTGTGTACGTACGTGCTTTGGCCGTACTTGACTGACTGCTTGTATATATATGTTTGGCTTGTATCTATGTGTGCTTGTGGCCCTGTGTGAAATGTATCAATATGTGTTATGTGAAAGTTTATGTGTTACTTACCTGCTTTATTACTGCTTTGGTTTAGTACTCTTGCCTAGACAAAGTATACCCTATGGAAGGAACACGAAGTGGTCGGGGACGCGGGCGCGGAACTAGACAAACCGCACCGGTTAGGGAAACGGGGAACCCTCTACTGGACCTAACCCTGGACCGCAATTAGACCCCAATGTGCAAATCGCTGCTGCTATGCAGCAAATGACCAACCTACTTGAACAGGTAGTGCAACAACAGGGCCAAAACCCAAACCCTAACCCTGGAAACCCTGGTAACCACGTTGAGAGCGAGGATAGAGCTCTCGAACGTTTCCAAAAGTTTTCCCCGCCAAAGTTTATTGGGGGACCCGACCCTGACGTCGCCGAGAAGTGGCTTGAGAAAATGGTTGATATATTCGCGGCCCTACACTATCCGGACGAACGGCAGGTCACTTTTGCCGTGTTTCAACTTGAAGGGGCTGCCCGTTCCTGGTGGAACGTAATTAGACAGAAGTGGGAGCGAGAGCAGACACCGAGGACGTGGGTGAACTTCATCCGCGAATTTAATGCCAAGTTTTTCCCTCCTCTAGTCCAGGAGAGGAAGGAGGACGAGTTTATCCGGCTCCGGCAAGGGGATCAGACGGTGGCGGAGTACGAGAGCCAGTTTACCCGCCTGTCCAAATTCGCGCCTGAACTGATCATGACTGAGCAACGACGGGTGAGGCGCTTCATTCAGGGTTTGAATGTGGAGATCCAGAAAGACCTCGCGGCGGCTCAAATCACTACAATTAGCGAGGCAATGGAGAAGGCCCAACGGGTTGAGAGTGCACGGCTTCAGGTCCGAAACTTCCAGGCTAAAAAGCATGGTTTTCCTGGGAGTACATCTGGACAGGGTGAGAAGAGCACTCCCTCTAAGTTTGGACGAGGCATGGGAGGTGGTCGACAATCTGGATCAGGCAGAGGGACTCCGTTCAGGGGCGGCCAAGCTGGGCGAGGACAAAGGGGAAACACCCAGAGTGGCTCGGCTTCGGCACCTCGTGGTCCCTGTGGGCACTGTGGAAAGACAAACCACACCGAGGACAATTGCTGGAGGAAACTGGGAAAATGTCTGCGGTGTGGAAGTGCGGACCATCAGCTGGCTACATGTCCGGTCCTGAAACAAGACGGAAAGGGGAGCCAACTACCGTCGAGGACCAATACTGGACCAGCCAAGGGAGACGGATCCAAGCCTAAAGTTCCAGCTAGGGTATATTCCTTAGAGCCTCACCAGATCCCAGAGTCTTCCGAGGTGGTGGAAGGTACGATCCCTATTTTCCACCGCTTTGCCAAAGTTTTAATTGATCCTGGTGCCACTCATTCGTTTGTTAACCCTGATTTCATGTGTGGCATCGATATAAAACCTGCTAGTTTGCCATATGATTTAGAGGTTAGTACACCTACGGGGAATCAACGTTTGGTGACTAGTATGGTCTATAGGATTGTGACGTATGGGTAGGTGAAAGGAGGTTTTTAGGGGACTTGATTAGCTTATCCATTAAGGGGTACGATGTGATTTTGGGTATGGACTGGTTAGCCAAATATAACGCCCAACTGGACTGTAAAACGAAAATAGTAGAATTTCGCATTCCTGGCGAGGCAACCTTAAGGTTGGATATAAGGGGTAGGTTAGCCTCATCTGCTCTCATTTCGGGCATTCGAGCTAGGAAATTGATAAGTAGAGGGGCGCAAGGATTTTTGGCCTTCTTAATTAATACCCCTACGGATAAGTTAAAGGTAGAAGATGTGACCATAGTGAGGGACTTTCCGGATGTTTTTCCTGACGAGTTAGTAGCCCTACCGCCGGAAAGGGAGATAGAATTCCGAATAGATCTTTTACCTGGAACTGCACCTATCTCGAAAACCCCTTACCGAATGGCGCCTGCGGAACTTAAGGAGCTTAAGTTGCAGTTACAAGATCTTTTGGAGCGGGGTTTCATTCACGAGAGTGAGTCTCCTTGGGGAGCTCCGGTCCTATTTGTGAAGAAAAAGGACGGAACGTTGAGGATGTGTATTGATTATAGGGGGTTGAACAACGTGACCATCAAGAATAAGTATCCACTGCCTCACATAGACGAGTTGTTTGACCAGCTGCAAGGAGCAGTGGTCTTCTCGAAGTTGGACCTCCGACAGGGATACTATCAG